ATCAAAATTATTCTCTATATTAATCTGTAAATTATATAATTTTCACTTATATGTAATACAATTTATAAATAAATGAATATAATAATAAACATATTTTAGAGTAAATGTTGCTTACCTTTAGTGGGCATTGGACTTATTGGCTCTTTGATATTCTAAAAATTATTATTTAAGATAATTAAGCATTTATATAATATGCTTATTTATTGCAATTAAGCTATGTAAATAATTTAATTAAAAAGAAATAGCAAATTTCAATCAGATTAACTAGACTTGAAAATACAATTAATTACCTAATTAAATTAATTAAATTTATGCATTGTTTGATCTGTTAGCAATATTAATAAGCAACTTTCTGTTTTTGAAGCTAACTGAATTGTATTAACAACAAATTATATTCCTAGAATTGATAGACTGTTTTTGTTTTAATTTTTGAATACAAATTATTTTAGCATTTTGAGTTTGAATTGAATTAAAACTTACAGACGTAAATAGCGGAATGTTTGTTAGCTGTTTTGATGCAAAAAAAGGCTTAGCAATAGGTGCTGTCATTGATTTTGGCTTTTGTTGATTAAGCTGAAAAATTCAAATTTATCCAAGCAAGTTGTTGCATAAATTATGAGTTGAAAACATCTACATTCATGAAAATTAAACAAATTAAAAAAAAATTATTAATCAAATATTTGACAGTGATGAATAATTAATTGCCTATCTTTGAAAAATTAATTGCAACATTAATTGTATTCTATAAAATTAATTAAAAATATTTTAGCAATTACAGTTTAATAAATTTCAGTATTAAATTCAGAATAATTAGTAAATTTAAGAAATGAATATGAAAAATGTTTGAAATTTGCATATTTTTGACACGTTTATAATCAATTGATGGAATATATTAAAAAGCATTAATGTAAGTAAGTACCGAAATGCTTGCTGTTGATTGTGACCAACATGGAGAATTAGTATCAGATGATGGCGGTGATAACGGTTGTTGATGATTATGCTAAAGATTTAAACTTTACGAAAAAAAGAGCTACTGAATTTAAAAATGCACCTAAAAATTTAAGAAAGTACAAAAATTAGTAATAAGTTATTGTGTACTGTTAGTTATCAATGGAAATAATAAGTTGATAAAAGACCAGAAATTTAATCAGATTAAACTTATTATAAATCGATATAAGATCATTTATTATCGATACTAGAATATATGTGGTTAGTACTAGATCATTTAAACTTGATACCGCATCGTTTCTGTAACTGATAATAAATAATCATTTTCAAAATTATCATTTCAGTTCACAAAATGGAATAAAAAACATAATCACATTTGGTTGGATTTGTTGCTGTTGATTAGCTTGAAACACATCAGCCCTCAAAATAGGACTTAGTAGATACCAAAAATATTGAACATGACCCATGACTTTTGGATTAACCGGTGACAGAGGTACCTAAAGCAAAAATTAAGTGAGAAGATATTCAATAATTTTAATATTTAACTCATGAATTTAAAATTTATCAAAAAATTTATTAAAAAATTTTTGAAATGTAAAAAAATTTGTTAAAAAAATAACGTATTATTTTTTGAAATTAATTTTCAACTTTTTGTAAAAGTTAAAATCAATAAACTTTATTGTATTCATTATTAATCTTCAAAAAATTATACTGTCATTATTAAATTTATTAATGTCGTTTTTAATATAATTTTTTGCGTTTCTCTTGTTCAGTTATTATAATTTTTTGATATATTTTTTATAAAACTCTTAGAAATAATAATTTATGGACAAAAATAGTGAAATAAATTAAGAAAAACTGACAAAGTATGGTAATAATTGTAATGGCTTTGGTGATTGAACACTTGGATACGGTTGAAAGTCATTATTGCCAGAAGTTAGAATCTGTAAGATAAAAATGTGAAAATAATTTGCAAGCGAATACAAAATGATTTTTTTGAATTCAAAATAGTTAATGAATTAATTAAAATCATAATAATCGATATTTTTTGATAAAATTCAGTAAGACATTTTTATATATTACAATAATTCCAAAATAATTATGGAATATAGTTCAGTGAATAACAGATTGTGGCAATATTAACATTTTTTTAATAGACTTTATAAATTTGTTAATTAAAATAATGTTGGAATTTCTAATGGGTTAAATGTCCAATGTCATTAATTTATAAAAATTTTATTCATTATTATTAAGGTGAATTATTCACACAACTATTATAACGATAATTTATTTGTAAAATTTCATAAAATTATCAAAATTACCATAAAAATAGTGAACTGTCAAATTATAAATTTGCTAACTAAGAAAATTTAAAAATTTGTTAAATTAATTTTATCAATTTGATGTGATAAGTAAAAAAAATATTAAAAACTTTATTTAAAATATTTACTAATTCAAAAATTTTAAAAATATTCATTTTGTTGGAAAAATAATCAAACAAAAATTTTGCATATAAAAATAGTAATTTAAAATAATTTCAGTTTTTATGGGATTAATAAATTATAAAAAGTACTTAAATATTGTTGGAAATTTGTATTGCTTAAAATTTCGGACTATTATTTTCAGAATATTATTTGATATTTCAGGTTTTGAACGCTAAAATTACTTTAAATTTCAAATTAAATTTACTACATCAATAAAATTTTCGTTTTACTATTTTTTTCTGCTAAAATACTAGTTAAAATTTCAATTTTCTTAAATAATCACAATCCTAAACTTTAAACTCTAAAGTCTAAACTCTGAACTCAAATATCGGAGTTATTTAAACTTTTCGAATTAGAAAAATTGGCGAGAAAATAATTATATAAAATTTGAGCGTTAATAAAGTTCTGTACAAGTAAGCGTAGAAGACGTGCAACCAAAAATCGTTCAAAAATGACATGCAAGAGATAATTTTTAAAAAATTAAGCCTTCAAAAAAATTTTTCGTAAAACAAACACGTCAATAAGATCTTTTTTAAAGAACTAATATTTTTTTCAGAATTCAAATACTTATATTTTACTAAAATCGATAATTATATTAAAATAACACAAAAAAAATTAAGCGCAAAACAAATAATTAAAAGTCTACCTGTTTATAATCAATTACAAACTTAGCACAAACAATGAAAATAATTTGTTTGGTAAGTTCCATAATTTCCAGCAATACTGATTTAATCTCA